CTTCCCCGATCGGGGATTGGTCCCAGCTTGACGTGGAGGAGCAGCGAAGATCAAGGTTAAGCATGGCGTGTTAACTAATATGCAAATTGTGCCAGGCGAACGAAAGACTTAGGCAACGAACTCGATTTGATTTGAAGGCAGGGAAGGGCGGCTTGGGGGAGAAATACTCACAGTCCAGCTCGTCAAAGAACTTGGCCTCCTTGGGCAACTCCTGGTTGATGGCCTGCTTCAGCTCCGGCGGGATCACCTCGTTGTACACCGAGTTGTAGCTGCTGTGGCCAGCTGCGGCCACTGTTGCAAGCAGCAGCACGAGCAGTTGCTGCGGCAAGCGCATTTTGCAATACTTTCGTACTTTTTGTTGAGTACACTTGTTGTTGCCGCGTCTGTCACTGATTTCTGCAATTGTGTTTCACTTAATTCACGTAGCGGCGCGAGTTTTTGATTGAATAATCGCGCCTCGTTTGCATAGCAGGCCGAAGTGGAGTGCTGGGCCCTGGCAAATGGAATTAAGTCCACAGTTTTCTCCACCGTACACTTCTTCACTTCTGCGGCAGGCCTGGCAATAATTTAGAGCGTATCTTCAATATTTTACACTTCGCTTTCTGCGGCCTCGCGTCGTCCAAATGCATCCGCAGTTCGCAACCACTGCGCCGTCGCGTCGAAGCACTTAATAAACAGCGGGCTGACAAATTCAAAATCAAAATGCCATCAACACCGCCAACCGACTGGCGAGCGGTACGACACGGAGCGAGCCCAGCCGAGCTCCGACTATTGAGTAATAGTCACCAAAGAGCGGATCGAGAGAAAAGTTAAGCCAAGCTAAGACGGCGAGAGACCCGCATTGAAAACGAAAGTGGCCAAGGCAACGAGTTTTGTCGCTCAACTGGCAACTCGCAACTGGCAATTGCATGTTGCTGCTTTTGTCGCCATGACTAATATCCAATTTCGCCTCTCTACCTTCACCACTCCACTCCAAAGAGGAAGTCGCATTTTCCATCAAAACTCAAATTGGTGTTTTAGCAAAACCAACAATGGCCGAACAAATTGCAGGCGGAAAATACCACTCAGCGGCATCGAGCCTCGTCTCAAGCGTGACATTTACTTGCGGCGCAAAGAAGTTTTCGAACCGCGCCTAATCACTACCAATTACCAATAATAACTGACCGTTCGATGGCACACATTTCGGATTTCATTGCCACCGCTCAGCGACATATGCTCATGCACATCTTGCTGCGGTGCAGCAGCAGCAGCAACAGCAACAGCAGTTGCACTGCGCAACAGCAACATTGGGTAACACAGGCTGCCTGGGCTTAATGCGCCTAATGTACGAATTACCGCCTGGCAGTTAGGGATTGTGCCATTTGTGGCACTCCACCAAATAGGGCACAACCAGTGACATAACCCAACAAGAGGCTTGTTTGTTTGGGCAGCCACGTTTTCTCTTTTTGGCAGCGGGCGGCGGCGTTCAAGGTCGGTCTCCAGCCCACTTCCCCAAGTGGCAAACGCTATCACAATAGGCTAATTGTTTTGTTTATTAAATCTAATAAATAAATCGTCTCTGGCGGCGGATTGCACGTTGCCATTGCCATTGCCTAATGCTACGAGCCGTAAACTAATGAGATGTGTTGCATTGCCAAAGGTTCGGAGGGGATTTCCAGGGTCATCTGCAGCTATAACTCGTTGTGGGCCACCACTTCCTGTATCCACCTCACAGTCTTCTGCACGTTGTGATAAATGCCTATGCGTGGGTATCGAAAAGCTATAGCTCTTTATAGACCACATGGCTTTCGAGTCTCACCTGGCTGATGATCTACTCCGCAACCAAAGCCAGCACTGGTTATGCCCACAAGCACAAAGCGACCGCGCTCCTTGATCACCAGCGGTCCCCCGGAGTCACCTGGGATATGATATTGAAACAGGTTATTAATTACAGGGCTTAATTCATCAATGCAACAATATGTCAAATTAAAGGACCAATAGTAAAGTAGCAAGTCGTTGCTCTTCATCACATGAGCAACTTTGTATAACGTAGTGAGTTCTCTTATGATTTGTGTGAAACGGTTTTGAAAAATTAAAAATCAAATTCTTTTTCAGAAGCATTCAAGGCAAAACAAGCAGTTACGCACTGTATTTTTAAAGCTAAGCCTGAAAGTATGCATTGATACCTGGCTGAACTAGGCAACGTCTTATAAAATGAATCGTTTGTGGCCCCTGGCCTAATTTCATTTGCCAAAAAAGTCACTACTACAAAAGTCACACTACACTAACATTTTTGCCATTTGCACAGAGTAAATATATATATTGGTTGGGACTGTATTTAAAGGCTCTCAATATCATTAGCACATAAATAAAACTCTTTAGAAAAAATATTTCTAATTAACGAAGCCATACATAATATATTTAATGTTAAGAGCACATACATTTTGTATTTGCCAAGGACGCTAGGCAGAAATAGCCAGGATTTCAGTATCATTAACTCACCCAAGCAGGCGTCCATGTGGCCATCGGAGTGTCCAGCGCAGAACATCTCGGCCTTGATCTCGACATTTATCTGCTTGCTCTCGTGCCAGCGAATGCAGTCCAGTGTGGCTGAAATACAAGGGAGCATAATTACGGAGCACCTTAGTGGGATTCTGCACTCACTTATGATGGGAACACTGGCGACTTGCAGCATATTGGTGCCCGCGTGGCCGATGTGCGCCTCCGTCTTGCCCCACCCGGCAATCAGACCCTTACGCCCAATTAGCCGGATCGGATACTGGGGCAGGCAGATGGGCAGGATGTGCTCCGTGAAGGACGTGGGCTGGGCCAGCTTCAGCAGGGCTAGGTCATACCTGTCCGGCTGGGTCATGCGGAAGTTGAAGCGCGGATGGATGATCTTCTGCAGCACGCCGTGCTTCTCCACGGGCAGCGGCTCGTGGATGTGGCCCAGATCCTGCGTGTCCAGCTCCCCGAGGTACACGGTGATGTCGGAAAGGTGCGCCTGCTGGATGCAGTGGGCGGCCGTGGCCACCATGTTTGCCGAGATGAGCACCCCGCCGCATTGGTATTCCGCGATGCGGATGTGCGCCTGCCACGGATACTCCGCAAACTGCGCCGGCCGTCCCCCAATAATGCGTTTTTGAAGCGTGTTCTGCGCCGTCCGCGGCAGTCCGCACTCGGGCTGTGAATTGGATATGGTTTAGGTGGGAATGCTCATCAAATATTTAATATTATATGATAAATGTTAATATGTATCTTAATGCGTCAATGCTGTTTAATGACTATATGGTTATTCACACATACACATCTAGGCACCAAACTAGAAAACCGCTGAAAATAAGTTACAGTTTCATTCTAGCTCTAATTAGGGAAATCCTGCCCGTCTGTCAAGCGAAATTGCTCAATTATCCCGCTCTGCGGTTGCCATGGCTCAATTACTGCAGCATAGCAGACCCACCTTGGGATTGAGCAGCTCGTTGTCGTCACGTCTGCGCAGCATGATCCGCTTGGGCAGGCTGTTGAGGCTCAGCTTCAGCTTCCCATAGTCCACCAGGTTGGCCAGGTTGGCCAGCGGCGAGGAGGGGGAGAGATACTGGTGCGAATGCTGTGGCTCGGCGACGCAGCAGCTGAAGAGCCACTTGTTGCTGCCACATCCCTTCGCGTGCTTGCCGCCTTGCAGCCAGCAGGAGAAGCTCAGCTTGCAGGGCCACACGCCGCTCTGGTGGACGCATTCCGCGGGCACCCCCAGCAGGGCGTTCAGAATATCTGGGGGGATTGGGTCACTAGAGGTGGAACTCCTACAGAACGTGCGTACTCACTGGCTTGGCTGGGACTGGACCGGCAGAGGAGCAGGAGGAGGCACAGCCACATGAGCAACTGCATCTTGGCGTCTGATTCGGGGTCACTATTCGCACTTACTTCTCCCCGAGGAGGATGACACTCAAACACTCATCAGAATGGGCTATAACGCCTTTGTTGCCAATGAAAGCATGACAATTTCTTATTCACTTTTAAGCTGGCTCTGCTCTGCCGTTTTCTTCTTACGTTTCCTATTATTGCTGCTCCACTTTTACTAGAAGTCGATGCTGTTTATGGGCCTGTCTGGGTGACTCACGGCGCTCGGGTGACTCGGGGAGCTTCTCGGTGGAAAAGAGATCGGTGTCCTTGATAGGCGAACAAGTTTCGGGGTCGCTTGCAAATGGGTCGCTGGCTAATGGCGGGGCTAATGGATTTTTATATAACAATCATAATGGGAACTATGCCAATTCTGTTGGCCGAGCTGACTGGCTCGATGACACAGTTTTCCGTTCAGTTTTCCTTTCCCCAGCAGCCACGCACCTGCGTTTCACACCGCATTTTTGGAATCCGATTTCCGAGAAGTGTTCTGCTATTCTTCTTATTCGGGGAACAAGCCACAACCGCACGCGCCGCTGGCCAAACGCAAACTAACTTCACGCCATTAGCCAAGAAGACGCAGCAACAGGTTGATCTGGCTGCTGCGGCCAGTTGAAGCGACTGCTGTCTTAAGTTGCTGCTGCTGATGCTGCTGCTTCACATGTGCTGCCCGATCTTCTTCATCATCAGCACTAATTATTACGAAATGCTGATGACGCCGCCAGCGGCGCAGGAAATGTTCTCCCAGTCTATTATAATTATTTTACGCGACATAATTGCAAGAACCGCTGCCATCTCTAGCCGGAATGGGAGCAGCTCAGTTGACTGGCGGCAAGCGGAGTGCTTTTTGGGGTTAGGCCATCTGGAGACGGGAGAACCACCAGCCCAAATGGGGGCCACACATTCATTTATGTAACTTTCTAATTTGTCGCCACCTGGGCGGATTAGCATACCAAATAGGGTTCTTAAGTGTCGCTTGTTTCAGTATCATTAGGTGGAAAAGTGAAAATGGCTTTAGAAATCCTAAGAGGCAGAAAAACTCATTTGTCATTCTTGTATTCTTCCTCTAGTCTGGATTAAATAACACCGCATTTTAGATTGCCACACAAATACATTTGTGCTGCAAAGAAGCAGGCCCTGATTCCCAGCACTCCTGTCACCTGGTTTCCACTCGTCCAGCCTTCAGTACATCGTTGTTTGTTCTGTTGCAAACACAAAACAAACCCCAAAACAGAACATTCCGGCAAAAATCACGCTAAGTTGGCATTATGGCCCCCAACAATCCATCGCATCCTGGTGGAAAGGCACCCGCCATTGCGATGGCCGGCAGCCACACCATCTCGTACGTGCAGTGCCAGAACCTGAAGTACAACGTCATTATCCTCGGCTGGCTGGGAGTGATTATTTCCAGCGTCATCCTGGGCAGCTCCGCGCTGACCATCCACGTGCGTCCCGACATCGAGCTGCTGCTCAACCAGTGGCCCATGAATTTGGTCCCGGTGGCGGAACAGCAGCTACTGATCAATTGTAAGTAGTCCCCGATCTGGAGCCCTTACCTTGGGACATCTAGTAATGATTACTTGGCCCAGTGTTGACCATCTTTAGTTCCATTGCGTACGGACTCTCGTTGATCAACATGGGCGTCAGTCTGCTGCTGCTAATTGGTATTGCCCGGGTAAGTAAATCAAGTGTATATTAGTGCATCCACTTAAGCTCGATGCCATATTGTTGCAATATAAGATCCAAAGCCATACTATAACTAAGAGTGTCTTCAACAGGACTCCAGTTGCCTAATATATCCCTGGTTGATCTATCATGGCGTTATCTTTGGCTTCGGTCTTTATTTGGGGGTTTTCTACGCGACCGCAGGTCTGTTTATTGACCTGTCGAGCTTTCTAATGTGCCTTCTGGTGTTCACCCTTGTGCTGGGTAAGCCGAGTATATCTGACCCAAAGATCCCAATCATGTACGAGTATCTCCGCCTCAGTTATATTTTACAAGATCTACCACGAGGTCTTCACCCTATTTCGCGTGATTGAGCAGTCGAAGGACGGGGGAGTGGGCGGCATCTACTACCAGGATGCGGAGAATGGATGGACTGCCGCTGGGGTTCCCTTCCAGCATGTTTATGTGCCGCGTCTGCCGATCCAAAAGTAACATGCACATTGACCATTTCCAGACTGCAACAGCAACGAATAGAAAAAGTAAAAATATGACATTTGGACTTCGTTTGTACGATGAATAAACGTTTCGCGGGTTCGAATTCATTTCAATATTTGTATAATTTATTTACACACGAAATGGAGTTCATAAATAGTTTTAAAATTACATAACAGCGCATATGACTAAGTAAATTAAACCGTAATTATCAGTTAGAATTAATGTAAGGCTTAGGTTGCTTGCAGATGTGTCGCACACGCGTGTATCTCCTAGATACGCACTACGAGTCCCAACTGCTACTTGTACTGCGCTAATTTGTCTCTTAACCTAAATTGTATTTCTTGGGTAACCATAAATTAGGCGTCGTGGATCGGAGCGGAGCAAGGAGCAGAATGAAGTGAGTTATGTACAAAACAATCTGTGGCCCACTTAGCAGGCAGGTGCGAATGCGAATGCGATTGCGATTGCGATGAGAATAAATTAGATGTTCATCGTGAGTCCGACGACGTAGGACACCCAGTCCACGGTCTTGCTGACGCTGTGGTAGATTCCCGGCTGGCCGCGGGACGCGCAGGAGTAACCAGCAGAGACCACACCTGAAGGAGATCAGTCATATTAGTTTACTGCAGGGATCTGTCTATCTGTCCACACCCACCAATCAGGTACCAGCGCCCGTTCTTGTCGTGCATCAGAGGTCCGCCGGAGTCACCCTGGCACGAGTCCTTGCCTCCGTTGCGGTAGCCCGCGCAGAGCATCTCCTGGTAGATGACCACATTAATGCCGTTCTGCCGGTGCCAGCGCTCGCAGATCCGGTTCTCGATCACGGGCACATCCACGGCCTGCAACGTCTTGGGACGCAGCCGGGAGCCCGGGTTCAGAGCTCCCCAGCCGGCGGCCCAGCCGAACTTGCCCAGGAAGTCCTCGTTCTTCTCAGGCAGGCAAATCGGAGCTGGTGGTAGAAACAAGTAGGTGTAAGTTCTCTCCTTTATGGCTTTATTTTGCTTGTGCAAATTATAAAGATTAATCCAATTGTCCGGAACAACTCACCTATGTGGGGCATGAAGTGCACGGTGCGCTCCAGCGTCAGCACGGAGATGTCGAAGCGGTCGGCCTGCGGCGTGAACTTGAAGTACGGATGCACGTCGATCCGGCGGACACCGAAGGTGTAGGCAGGCAGCGGCTCCACGGCCGAGTTGATCACGTAATCGCCCAGCGTGACGTGCACCTGGCGCGGAGTGGCCCGGGCCACACAATGACCGGCGGTGACCACGTGCCGCCGCGAGATCAATGAACCCCCGCACCTGGCGGAAATCGTGGGATGCTTAGTCGGAAGTAAGCGGAAGCCAACGCAGAGATGCTTACCTAGAGGAGCCGATGCGAATGTAGGCCTGCCAGGGAAAGGAGCCGAAGCCCGCATCATCGCCGCCCACAATGCGCCGCTGGGCGGTCTGCTTGGCCAGCGAAATGCCGCAGCCTGAAAGGGAGAGGAGTCGGATGAGTTGGAACCGCGCACCAGGATCTCTTAGCGTAGGGGGTTGGGGTATCTGGGATGGGGTTAGTGGAAGCATTAACAACGGGGCGACCACCAAGCAAGCAATTAGGCAAACAAGCTGCCGGGTTCAGATCAGCTTTCTAGAGTCGAGTCGTAGCGTCTTCGTCTTGACGGGACTTGAGGTCTCTGTTTCGTCGTGGTCTAGACTGGGACGCGGAGCATAATGCCGTTAAGCTATGTGTAATATATGGCTTAATTATCATTAGCGTGCTGTGGTAATTAACATGCTCATGCCGCGCAATTAAACATATTTTATTTTTCATAGTATTTCTCCGCTGTCTTTTATGCGATGCTCGATGGGAGGTGCCTCCTTCGCGGGTGTCTTTTGCTTGGTTTTAGTGGCGTGTGTTGTTAGAGGCATCTGCGGTCCACATGCGGCTTAATTAGGCACTGAAAACTACCCAGTGTAGCAATAACAAATGCGAGTTGCAAGTGCATAACTAACATACATAACAAAACGAACTACAAAACATACGTAAATTGTTAGGGGTGGCATGCAAATTATTTCCCAACTATTCCCCATTTATTACAAATGGCTATTGAGTACTGGAACTTGGTACTGGGAGTTGGATTTGGGTTGGGGTTAAGTGTGCACGTGCTTGGTTGGATTGGATTGGATTCAATTGGAATCAATTTGGCTTTCATCGAGCTGAGCCTGCCACACTCACTGGGTTCGTTGTTCACGGGTCCGTAGTTCTTTTGCGGCAGATCGGTCAGATCTACGGCATTGCCGACGAAGTCCGAGCTGCCCAGATTGGCCGACTTGGCCGTGCGGTGGCAACAGCCGCGCAGCAGTCCGTCGCAGGTGCCCTGAATGAGGCCGCCGGAGAGCCAGCAGCCCAGGAAGAACTCGCACGTGCCGCCCCGGTGCTGGCACTCCGTGTCCGTTGTGATGTCGACTGTCGAATGGGAATCGGAGTTGCAATCGGTATGTTCTCGTGTGCGGGTGGGTTGTTTTGTGTGGGCGTGTGTGAGTTCTGGGATTCTGGATTCTGGATTCTAGACTTTCTGGGGTGGGGTTACGTGGCCTAGTGCAAGCAGTTTCCCAGCAGCTGACTGAGCCCTTCCTAAGCCCTACCAAATGCGGGTGGTGGAGGGGTTGAAAGCGGGTCGGGACGTGGCACTTACCTTTCTCCTTGAACGTGCTCGCCGACTGCGGACTGCTGGTCGCCTCCGAGGCGCTGTCCAGCTCCTGCAGACTGTAGTCATTGCGCACATCCTGCACGGCGGCCAGTTCGTTGATGCCGAAGTTTTGGTCCCTGTTGGGATGCAGCGCATTAAGTATATACATATGTACAAGTATATCGGAGAGCTTAGCTTATAGTAAATATAGTTGCACACTCGTACAGAGGTGTATAATCCTACCTGAAAGCAATGTTATCGCTGAAGTAGACCCCGTTTCCGGAGGGACCGCTGCTGCCGGCGGGTCCACTGGGTCCGGTGGTGCCCACATTGTCGCTGGTGGGAAAGACGACCCGTGGACTGCGAGAGGACTTGTAGGGATAGTAGCGGCTCTTGCGGGTTCCCTGGTACTCGCTGGGTCCCACGTACTCCTGGAAGTTCTTCTGCGGCCCAAACTGGCGCACGGGTGCAGGAGGACCAGTGCGGAACTCAGTGTCGCCGAAGTAGAAGCCTCTCTGTGGCCGCTGCTGCGGGAGGGCGGTGATCGGTCCATTGATGTCCCCGAACTTGGTCACGTCGTCGCGATAGAGCTTGAGGCCGTGCGGCTTGGAGTTGCTCACCAGGCCGGGAAACTCGAAGCTGGAGGATGACGTGTCCGAGTCAAAGTAGAGCTGCCGGGTGTGCCGCGTCTCGTGCTGCTCGTACTGAGTGGGCGGCGGAACGGGTGACGCGTCATCGCTGTACGGCTGGGGCTCATAGCCTCCGGCACTGGTGTCCCCGAATATGGGGTTGTCCTCGCGGTAGGCCTGCGGGTGGAAGGGACTGGCGGGCTTCAAGCTGTAGCTGGGAAACTGGAAGCCCACCCGGCGACTGGTGTTCTCCGGCTCGGCGTACTCCAACTTGTCCGTGGAGCTGGCGGCGGCCAGAAGATCGCTGCGTTCGGTTCGCTCGGGACCCAGTTCCAATGCAAGAGGCTGCTGCTCCGGTCCAGATCCCCGGATGGCCAGGTCGGCGGCAAATTCATGGGCCACGGCGGCCACTCCGTCGGCCGGAGGTCCCAGCGCGGAAAGCGTGGCGTTCCGACTGGGACGCAGTTGCAGCAGCGCCGTGGATCCATTATCCCCCTCCGTCTGCAGCGGTATGTACATGTAGTTGCGCCGGCGACCCTGACGCGTCACATTCTCCGGCATCGTGGGCACCAGCTGCTTGGGCACCGTGATGAGTTCAGCCTGCGGCAGTTCCACGGAGGGCGCGGGAATGATCTCTACGGCGGCGTCGGATCGCCGCTGGGCACTGTTCGATATGCCATCAAACTGACGGGCGGTGCGATAGGAGCCGAAGGACTGCACCACCGTGCCGTCGCTCCGCTGGCGCAGGTCCTTAAAGCTGATGTCGTCCTGCCGGCTGAAGCTCTGGTGTGGCGCGTAGAGATTGCGGGCGGAGGAGGGCGTGGTGGCCGCCGTCGCCGCTGCCGTTTGCCAGGGCAGCAGCTGGTGGCCGGTGAGGAGGGCGGCCGTGGTCCCCGAAGTGGTGGGCGTGGCCGCAGATGAGCCCCAGGAGCAGTAGGCGAAGAGACTAACGGCCAACGCCAGACGGCTCCATCTCCAGGTGTTGCGTGTGCTCCGGCTGATGGTGGTGGTGTAGGTATGGTTTTTGTCGGTGGCCACTAACATCTTACATCGAGCAGGATGAGCGGCGGTGAATGGTGGTTGTCGGGTGGTAATGACACTGGCTCCAATTAAGGTGCAGCCGCACAACTTCCTGCTCGGCGCCGCCTGAACTTGAAAACCAAACGCTGAACGCTGAACGCTGAACGCACCGAGTGCCGCCCAATCCGATCCGGTCCCAACTGAGCTGGTCCGTTTCGCTTTTCCTACGCTCCGCTGGCTGCTCTGCTGCAAAAGTGGATTCCAAGTGCTCTCAGCTGCGTGCCGCGTTCATTGATCTCCCCACTGGATTTTGGCCTGGGTATCGGCTTTTGGGATTTTCCGATTTTCCGATTTTGCGATTTTCTGTTTTTCCGGCGCGGCGGCTCTGTTACAATTCAGCTGGATTTGCAGCAATCTGTGTGCCTGCCGCCGATAGCTCAGCTCGTGTGGCAAGTTGCCGGTTTCGTTGCCAGTTGAATTGGTCCGGGTGCTGGGATGGGTTGGAAGCGGCGATGGCGATGGCGGTGGCGGTGGCGGTGGCGACGACGATGACGATGACGATGGTGGGATGTTTGGGTATGTGCTCGTGGGTCCGGCGGTTATTGGTCTGTGCTGCTCCAATGGCAATTATGGCAATTGCTGTTGACGCTTTAACAGCGGCGTTTCAGGCGGCTTAGTTCGGTTGCATGCTGCACCGCATCGCGACGAAGTCCACGAGGAGCTCTGGCCACGAATCACTTCCTTAATTGCCTGCAACGGATAAACCAAACATTATCATTGGTGGACCGGT